TGCCCTGGAAAGCGTCGCGGTTCCGGCGGCGTCCGGTGAGCTCTCGCTGGCCCTTGAAAATCCGGGGAGAAGGTGTAAATCTCGCGCCAGGCTGTACCCATATCCGCAGCAGGTCTCCAAGGTGAACAGCCTCTGGCATGTTAGATCAAGGTATGTATGGATATGTCTGTCTTATGGACATAGTTAACATGGGACTTTTCCTTAAAATGTACTGAAGTCCGCACAATGTAAATGTGATGTCACTACCAATGCAAATTCCCTGCCAAGGGCAAGACAAATGTTACCAACTATGCCTACACACATGCAACCCTTGGGGGTTCTATTTTGTTGTTATTCAGTGTTACCAGGGGCAACGAACTTCTGACCGGTGTTCCCTCTTGGTTTAGTCCGTGGGGGAGTGCTTAAGTGTGGGTACACATGTTTCACCTGGTGCACAAGGTTATGGAGGTGGGGGTCTTGCTGGTGCTCAAGTGCCCATATACATCACCCCATGTTCCCATGACTGTTACCCCTGCTAAAGAGACACTATTTCGGGGTAAAATGTATCCATGTTGACCCCTGGTTCTTGTTCCTTGTACCCTGGATGCATGTAGATGGGCCTGGAAGAATGCAATGTGGAGTTCCAATGCAAATTGGCTTAAGTCCAGTCAGGGTCTGGACATGTTGCCATGACTGTTACCCTGCTAAAGAGACACTATTTCGGGGTAAAATGTATCCATGTTGACCCCTGGTTCTTGTTCCTTGTACCCTGGGATGCATGTTGGTGTCCCTGAAGAATGCAATGTGTAGTTCCAATGCAAATTGGCTTAAGTCCAGTCAGGGTCTGGACATCTTCCCATGACTGTTACCCCTGCTAAAGAGACACTATTTCGGGGTAAAATGTATCCATGTTGACCCCTGGTTCTTGTTCCTTGTACACTGGATGCATGTTGGTGTCCCTGGAAGAATGCAATGTGGAGTTCCAATGAAAATCGGCTTAAGTCCAGTCAGGGTCTGGACATCTTCCCATGACTGGTACCCGCCTTAAGAGACACTATTTCGGGGTAAAATGTATCCATGTTGACCCCTGGTTCTTGTTCCTTGTACCCTGGATGCATGTTGGTGTCCCTGGAAGAATGCAATGTGTAGTTCCAATGCAAAATCGGCTTAAGTCCAGTCAGGGTCTGGACATCTTCCCATGACTGTTACCCTGCTAAAGAGACACTATTTCGGGGTAAAATGTATCCATGTTGACCCCTGGTTCTTCATCCTTGTACACTGGATGCATGTTGGTGTCCCTGGAAGAATGCAATGTGTAGTTCCAATGCAAATTGGCTTAAGTCCAGTCAGGGTCTGGACATCTTCCCATGACTATTACCCTGCTAAAGAGACACTATTTCGGGGTAAAATGTATCCATGTTGACCCCTGGTTCTTGTTCATTGTACACTGGATGCATGTTGGTGTCCCTGGAAGAATGCAATGTGTAGTTCCAATGCAAATCGGCTTAAGTCCAGTCAGGGTCTGGACATCTTCCCATGACTGGTACCCCGCCTTAAGAGACACTATTTCGGGGTAAAATGTATCCATGTTGACCCCTGGTTCTTGTTCCTTGTACACTGGATGCATGTTGGTGTCCCTGGAAGAATGCAATGTGGAGTTCCAATGCAAATCGGCTTAAGTCCAGTCAGGGTCTGGACATCTTCCCATGACTGGTACCCGCCTTAAGAGACACTATTTCGGGGTAAAATGTATCCATGTTGACCCCTGGTTCTTGTTCCTTGTACACTGGATGCATGTTGGTGTCCCTGGAAGAATGCAATGTGTAGTTCCAATGCAAATCGGCTTAAGTCCAGTCAGGGTCTGGACATCTTCCCATGACTGGTACCCGCCTTAAGAGACACTATTTCGGGGTAAAATGTATCCATGTTGACCCCTGGTTCTTGTTCCTTGTACCCTGGATGCATGTTGGTGTCCCTGGAAGAATGCAATGTGTAGTTCCAATGCAAATCGGCTTAAGTTCAGTCAGGGTCTGGACATGTTGCCATGACTGGTACCCGCCTTAAGAGACACTATTTCGGGGTAAAATGTATCCATGTTGACCCCTGGTTCTTGTTCCTTGTACACTGGATGCATGTTGGTGTCCCTGGAAGAATGCAATGTGTAGTTCCAATGCAAATTGGCTTAAGTCCAGTCAGGGTCTGGACATCTTCCCAAGACTGTTACCCTGCTAAAGAGACACTATTTCGGGGTAAAATGTATCCATGTTGACCCCTGGTTCTTCATCCTTGTACACTGGATGCATGTTGGTGTCCCTGGAAGAATGCAATGTGGAGTTCCAATGAAAATTGGCTTAAGTCCAGTCAGGGTCTGGACATCTTCCCATGACTGTTACCCTGCTAAAGAGACACTATTTCGGGGTAAAATGTATCCATGTTGACCCCTGGTTCTTCATCCTTGTACACTGGATGCATGTTGGTGTCCCTGGAAGAATGCAATGTGGAGTTCCAATGCAAATTGGCTTAAGTCCAGTCAGGGTCTGGACATCTTCCCATGACTGTTACCCTGCTAAAGAGACACTATTTCGGGGTAAAATGTATCCATGTTGACCCCTGGTTCTTCATCCTTGTACACTGGATGCATGTTGGTGTCCCTGAAAGAATGCAATGTGTAGTTCCAATGCAAATTGGCTTAAGTCCAGTCAGGGTCTGGACATCTTCCCATGACTGTTACCCTGCTAAAGAGACACTATTTCGGGGTAAAATGTATCCATGTTGACCCCTGGTTCTTGTTCCTTGTACACTGGATGCATGTTGGTGTCCCTGGAAGAATGCAATGTGGAGTTCCAATGAAAATTGGCTTAAGTCCAGTCAGGGTCTGGACATGTTGCCATGACTGTTACCCTGCTAAAGAGACACTATTTCGGGGTAAAATGTATCCATGTTGACCCCTGGTTCTTGTTCCTTGTACACTGGATGCATGTTGGTGTCCCTGGAAGAATGCAATGTGGAGTTCCAATGAAAATTGGCTTAAGTCCAGTCAGGGTCTGGACATGTTGCCATGACTGGTACCCGCCTTAAGAGACACTATTTCGGGGTAAAATGTATCCATGTTGACCCCTGGTTCTTGTTCCTTGTACCCTGGATGTATGCTGGTGTCCCTGGAAGAATGCAATGTGGAGTTCCAATGAAAATCGGCTTAAGTCCAGTCAGGGTCTGGACATCTTCCCATGACTGGTACCCTGCCTTAAGAGACACTATTTCGGGGTAAAATGTATCCATGTTGACCCCTGGTTCTTCTCTCCTGGTGTCCATTTCATGTACATTTCCTCGTGTCCATTTCATGTACATTTCCTCGTGTCCATTTCATGTACATTTCCTCGTGTCCATTTCATGTACATTTCCTCGTGTCCATTTCATGTACATTTGATGGGGGAGTCACATGTGGATGAAATGGACCCGATTCCCGGAGGTTCCGGGCAGAATTTGGTAGCTCATATGCGGCCTGCCGTGCACCCCCACCCGTGGAAAGAAAAAAAAAGTAAATAAAACGGTCAATTATATCTTAAATTCATCAAAAACTACGTTTTTAAAAATTCTCGAAAAACGGCTAAGTGCCAACGGGTGAGGGGACCAACCCTTCGGCGCTTCGGGCGGAAGCCCCGGAGACATTTCCACTGACCCGTTGCACTTTTCAACGTAGAGGGGAATTGAGACCTCCCCTCCTCCGTTAACAATTTTCATTCATCTTTTCCAAGCTACCTTCTGCACGAAATCGGAAACCCGGTTTTTTGAGAGCACTTAGAAAAAAACGGCCTATTTCTCATGATGGGGAAATCATGGAGGAATGCGTCCGATGAGTGAGCACTTTGGATCGGACACAATTGTTGCCCGGAGGACCCCAATCACGGTTCTTACAAAACTTTAAGTTTTTGAACTGGCCTCTGGAGGAATGCAAGGGGAGTTTCGACGGAATAACGAGACACTATTGTCGGACACATTGTTGCCCGGAGGACCCCCAATCACGGTTCTTACAAAACTTTAAGTTTTTGAACTGGCCTCTGGAGGAATGCAAGGGGAGTTTCGACGGAATAACGAGACACTATTTTCGGACACATTGTTGCCCGGAGGACCCCCAATCACGGTTCTTACAAAACTTTAAGTTTTTGAACTGGCCTCTGGAGGAATGCAAGGGGAGTTTCGACGGAATAACGAGACACTATTTTCGGACACATTGTTGCCCGGAGGACCCCCAATCACGGTTCTTACAAAACTTTAAGTTTTTGAACTGGCCTCTGGAGGAATGCAAGGGGAGTTGCCAGGGGACTCTACCTGCATTATGAGGCACTATTTCCGGACACCTTTTCACCAATTTCACACCCCTTTCTCTGGTTCTTCCAAAAGTTAACTTTAACTTTTTCTGACTCTGGAGGAATGCAAGGGGAGTTGCCAGGGGACTCTACCTGCATTATGAGGCACTATTTCCGGACACATTTTCACCAATTTCACCCCTTTCTCTGGTTCTTCCAAAAGTTAACTTTAACTTTTTCTGACTCTGGAGGAATGTAGGGTGAGTTGTCAGGGGACTCTACCCGCCTTAGGAGGCACTATTCCCGGATACATTTTATCCATTTTAACCTCTTTCTCTGGTTCTTCCAAAAGTTAACTTTAACTTTTTCTGACTCTGGAGGAATGTAGGGTGAGTTGTCAGGGGACTCTACCCGCCTTAGGAGGCACTATTCCCGGATACATTTTATCCATTTTAACCTCTTTCTCTGGTTCTCTGGTTGCATCCGTCTCTGGATCATGGAAGAATGCATCCGCTGCATGATGACTTTGGATCGGATACAATTGTTGCCTGGATGACCCCCAATCATGGTTCTTACCAAACTTAACGTTTTGAACTGGTCTCCGGAAGAAAGTAAGGGGAGTTGCCAGGGGACTCGACCCGCCTTAGGAGGCACTATTTCACCCAGTTTTGGCTCCCGCCTTGCCTGGATGATAGGACCGATATATGACAGGGATCTCTGCCCGCCTAACGAGTGCCTAAATGGGACACCTTTCGCACGATGATGCAAATGGGTTATTTATTGAAAATAAACCGGAGAGATTTGACATGGGGTCTTTCTAGTTCGCTGAGTGCAACTTTCTTATTTTCACCTATCCTTCTTTGTCCCCCCCGGTTCTATACATTATACTGGTGACACTTCCCGGTACCGAAATGCTCAGGCATACAAAATGATGGCGATCGGTTGTCCTATCTGTAATAGTCCCTACCGTGCCCTGAGCAAGCACCTGCTGAGGAACCATAGTGTGCGTAATTTAGTGGAAAGAAGAATTCTGCTGTTGTTGGCGAAAGGACGGATAAACATTAGGCTCCATCCCTGCATTATTGCAGGATGCGAGTACAACGGGACAAGGCTGGACCGCCACTTGTACAGAAACCATGTTGAGCTGTCCCGGCAGGAATTACATGTGGTTTTAACTAAACTAAAAATGAAAGTGGCCACAAAGAAGCTTCATGAACTCAGTTTGACAAACCCCAGAGTAGCAATGATTACCTCTTGGGATGTTGACACTGTGGGTGATGTTGTCCTGTCACAACCTCCACCCTTGTCCCCAGTGATTAAATGTGACAACCCGGACTGTAAGGAATGGAGGATGGATGCAAACAGAATGAAGGCTCAGAGGGACATATATGCTGCTGAGGTGAAATCCCTGCGCTGCATGCTGCAGCAGAGGATTCAACGTAACCGAAAGAGGATGAACCAGAGGGCCGAGGACCAAGAGCGGGTGTTTCTAAGGAAACGATCCCGAACAGAGTCAACACCAAAGAGGCTGTCCAAGTCCAAAGGTCCCTCCTGCAGGAAGTCCCCCATTGCCTCTCACACACCTGTATCCAGCTCCTCAGAACCTGCATCCATAGATACCAAGGCCTCGTCATCCTCCCCTCCCATACATTCCCCCTGGTTCAGCGGCAGGGGCCGGGGGAATCGAATGCGGGACATTACATTCCCACGCATCATGGAGAAGTATCTGCAAGGCTACCGGGACCATTATGAGGGCATCGATCCAACAGTGAGGCTCCAAGAAAACGCAGTCTCCAAAATAAGCAGAATCAAATCATTCCTAAGCTTCATGGCACACGGTTTCAATCGCCTGTCTGACTGGCTCTTTTTGAGGGATCTGAAGAGGATACGTGGGTGGTCCCGGAGCCTGATAAAGTCAAGCCTACAGGTCACGACATCTGACTTCTATATCAAAAATATATCACACTTTCTCAAGTACATGAATGAAACACCATGCAAGGGGAGCAGGCTCAACCAGAATGACATGATTTTAATCACACGGGAAGTTGCTGCCATCCTGAAGTCCATGAGAAAGAAGGTGTTTATCCACCAGATGCAGGTGAAGCGGGACAAGATGGAAGGTCTGCCAAGCCATAAAGACATCATGGCATGTTTGACTGCGGCCAAAACTCGCATCCCTCAGCTCCTGGATGTGATGACCAGCAATCCGACTCACGCAACCCGGAGCCTGCTCTATGGGTACATGACCCTCAATTGGAGCTGCATTTATGGGCACCGTCCGGGGGTCTACTCCAACATGACCAACACGGAGGTCCTAAAGGCGGAGATAACTGGCACTGCCTTTGGCCACCTCATCCACGTGAGTGAGCTATTAAAACATGTGTTTATTCTGGCAGTGATACACATGTTGTGGATGATTGATACTTGTATTGACGCTCTCTAACTCTGTCATAACAGGTAAGCAACCACAAGACGGCCAACGCGTTCGGGGAAGCGCAGATGTATCTCACCATAGAAGAATTTGGATGGATGAAAAGGTGGCTGGAAATCAAGGGGACGCTGACCGGCACCAACAACCGCTACTTCCTCTGCATAGCGGGGAAGAACCCATCGAGGAACCTTGCCACCTTCCTGAGGTTGGCATGGGCTGATGTTGGACTAAAAGGTCCCATTAACTTCACCAACCTCCGCACAGTCCACGCCGATAATGCGAAGAGGTTTCAGGACATAAGCAACCGCCAAAGAGTGAGTGATTTCATGTGTCACAACACTGCAACTGCAGACAAATTTTATGCCAAGAATCCTTCTTTGAAGGAGGCTGCGGACATACGAATGCTCTTCACAGAGTCACTGCAAGCAGCGGCCGCAGCAGCATCAGGGGTGAGTGAAGACAATTTGGGGGACATTGACATCCACAGTGACCGTGACAGCTCTGGAGAGGAGCATAGCCCTACTCCCTACCAAGACTCCACCGATACCGAGACGTCAGATGAATTATACAAAGACTTCAACGCTTGGAGAGCGGCGAAGAGGGAACAGTCAATGGCCGAACACAGTCCCTCAGACACGGTGAAGAGAGGGTGCCAGCCTCTGCACCAACTTCACCCGATACGGACAATGTTGCCAGTGACCAACTTGTAAATATGCAATGTTTTGTTGTACTCAGTCCGCTTGTGCTGGATGAGTTAATAATGTTATAATGTTATAAAGTGTCAATGTATATATTTCTGTAAATAAAGTTTGTTAAAATTACTTAATTTGTCCTCTTTTTATAACCCAATATGGGTGATTCCCCATTAAGATCCCCAGGGGCACGAGGTTCTGGTGGTGTGCATGAAGGGGTTTAGTCCAACGTGAGGGAGTGCTCAAATGTGGGAGGATGTGTAAGGCAAGCGGAGGGTAAAATAAGTTAAAGTGTGAACCTCCAGCAGGGCAGGTGGTGCTGCTGTGAATAGAGGCCGACTATGGTGTCCGATGGGCGGACTGTAAAGCACCGCAAAATACACCCCCTGATAGGTTACCAGGGGCCATGAGACATCCTCCATAGGAGGTTGGGTGCTGCTGTGAATAAGTCCGACTATGGTGTCCGATGGGCGGACTGTAAAGCACCGCAAAATACACCCCCTGATAGGTTACCAGGGCCATGAGAACATCCTCCATAGGAGGGTGGGTGCTGCTGCTGTGAATAAGTCCGACTATGGTGTCCGATGGGCGGACTGTAAAGCACCGCAAAATAGACCCCCTTATAGGTTACCAGGGGCACGAGTTTCTTGAGGGTGTAATCATCTGGGTTTAGTCCGTGGGGGAGTGTTTAAGTTCGGGGGCCCGGGGTCCCAAGGTGCGCGAGGTTATGGAAGTACGCATGTCAGGTAGATATGCTGGAGGTCTGTAGTCCGTGTTTTGGGTCTCTGTGAGCGGCCAAAGTGAGGTGGTTTTCCCGGTGTATGTCATGGAAGTCTGACATAGCCTGTTTGCCCATGTCAAATCTTATTATGAGGCACTATTTTGGGATACATTTTATCCATTTTAACCCCTTTCTCTGGTTCTTCCAAAAGTGAACTTTAACTTATTTAGCCTCTGGAGGAATGCAAGGGGAGTTGCCAGGGGAGTCTACCTGCATTATGATGCACTATTTTGGGATACATTTTATCCATTTTAACCCCTTTCTCTGGTTCTTCCAAAAGTTCACTTATACTTATTTAGCCTGTGGAGGAATGCAAGGGTAGTTATCAGGGGAGTCTACCTGCATTATGATGCACTATTTTGGGATACATTTTTATCCATTTTAACCCCTTTCTCTGGTTCTTCCAAAAGTTCACTTATACTTATTTAGCCTGTGGAGGAATGCAAGGGTAGTTATCAGGGGAGTCTACCTGCATTATGATGCACTATTTTGGGATACATTTTATACATTTTAACCCCTTTCTCTGGTTCTTCCAAAAGTTCACTTATACTTATTTAGCCTGTGGAGGAATGCAAGGGTAATTATCAGGGGAGTCTACCTGCATTATGAGGCACTATTCCCGGGTACATTTTATCCATTCTGTACATTTGGCTTACCGCGACTGGTAGTTAATGTCGCTACGGGGGACGCGTATATCCCTAAGGTATGTAAGGTTTTTCTAGGTGTGTAAGGAGGGATTGTTGGAAATTAAAATCAATGTTTTATGGCATAATGTACCTTAAACATACCTTCAGTTTAAATGCTGTTTTATACTGAAAAACCAGAAGTTCTTGTGCACAACCAGTTGTTAAGCTTTTATTCTGAAAATCCTTCATGACGACATCCGGGACTACCGCCCATTAGTATCATTAAAGTGGCTATTGACGCCGTTAACATGTATTACATATGAAAGAGATAAGGAGGATAAAAGGCATGTGGAAGTAAGCAATGAATGTAAAATGTTGAAATCCTCTGTTTAACGCGATATCGGACACAGACGAACGAGGGGGGAAGTCTCCTACGTCACTACAGCTCACAGAGCGAACAGCGAGCAAGCGGGAAGGACAAATGCTTGTAAGCTCTTCTGCACGGCCGGAAGCTGCAGTCTTTCTCTCCTGTCGAACAATATCCTGTTTGTAACATTACCGCACTTTTTATTAATTAAAGTAACCACATTTGAACCTTCTCAGAGACTCCATTTAGTCTCCTTTTTAAAGCTTCTCTCCTGGACGCGAGAATAACGATCACAGTTAACAATTGGTATGACCCCGACGTGATCTTGTTGCACCGGGAGAGCAGTTGCAGTTTTCAAAGGAGCTTGAACAATGCTGGCAGATATACACTCGGGCCATACAGAAAGGTAAAGAAGTACCCTGTTTATATTCAAAATCTTCAATAGATTACATAGTGAACAATAGGAGTGCGCGTCTGTCTGGTAAATTGGACTCCTGAGAAAGACTGCCTAAATTAATGTTAAAACAACCAAATTTATAACAATAAGGATTCCATAACACGCGGCGTTGCATTTTCACAAGCAGGGTGAGTTCAAATGTCTTCTTTTTCTTACATTTAACCCTGCATGCTATTCGTTTGTCTGTTATTACATGTCGGCAAAAGGTTAATCGCTCCAATAAGTGTTTTTTGTTACGTTTTAAGTTAACGTGAATGGTTTGAGGCTATTAAGCAGTCGGGACTGCTTGAGACAAAGAACACAATCACAGTGGAAGCTGAGAATATTGGAGTGAGTGTTTGTGTTAAAGACAGTGTGAGGCTGTGTGATGGAGCGGATCACATGAGTGACCGACTCCGCCACTGACAGCCGACACAGTCACACACACACACTACACACACACCAAACATTTCCTGCTCTCTTCCTAAAAAGTAACCATGCAATTTATTATTTATTGTGTGTTTGTTAATTTGTTAAATGATTATGTTAAGAGGTGGTTAACCTGTTTTATGTTTGGGTCGGTTTTTTATGTTGAAATGTGGTTTGAAGTTTAATTGTTGTCACCTGTTGACGGTAAGCCTGTGGGAGGGGCTATGAGCTCAAAAGGGACGGGGTTTGGCCCTGGAAGGATTCACTCAGAAGAATGTTGCAGTAAAGGCAACAGCTGGGACAAGTTTAGGAGTTTGTTGCAGAGAAGGCAACAACAGAACATGTTTACTCTGAATGAGTGATGGACGGCCTGTTTTGGATTTTTATTTTGTTTGTTTAAGGTGTGCTGTTTCGTTATTTTTTGTTGCTGTTAAGAATAACGTTTTTTGGAGCGTAACCCAACCGACTAGGCCAGTGTTTGTGAACGGACAAAATGAACCCCGTCACAGGCTGTTTTTCTTTTTAAAAGTCCTTTGTGTGATGAGGGCAATCATTTCAAAGTGTTTCTTGTTATGTTTTAATTTAACGTGAATGGTTTTAGGCCATTAAACAGTGGGGACTGTTTGAGACAAGAACAAAGTTGAGTGAGTGTTTTAATTACAGTGTGGGGCTTTCTTTTAAAAAAAGTCCTTTTCTGGGAAAAGGCCTGAAAAGTTTGAAGCTTTCAGTGTTTTCAAACAGACATTGCGTGTGGATTACGACGAGAAGTGCGACATTCGTGCGTTAGATAGACGATATTCTGCTGATTGTGTTAAGATTAAGATTAGCATCTTACTTTGTCCCATTATAGCGTGTTTAAACGGAAGCGATAACCATACTGGCTCTTAAAGTCAAAACATTACGTACATGGGTTGGGGGCTGTGACGTAAGGGTATAAGGTCCATTTATAATTGTAAAATAAATAGAAATGTTATTTTAAACTGCAGTGTTGTTTTGTGTTGAATTTTCTAGCATTATTTCAACTCCGCTGTGAGAGCCACGAGGTGTTTTCAAATCCCTTTGTTCTTCAGGTCAAAGGTTGGAAAATCAGTTGCCATCTTGTATTGCTCTCATGTTTACAATGAGCAATGGCAGTCGCCATTTCGTGAAATGCTAATTGAAAGTACTCAGTCCTACTCACATGAGGCTAGGAACTCCATCTTGAGAAGGACAAATCATATTTCTTTGCAGAGTTGGAACTATAAAATAGACAGGTTATTTTACCGTGGGAAGTTTGGTATTTGTAGGGATCTGATTTTGGAAGTTTCTTTTCTGCTTGCAAGTGTGAATTGACGTTTTTTTTTAATATTCCAGTTTGCAAATGTGTTTTGGCGGTTATGTGCTGTGTTGTTTTACCATAGTGTAATGTTCTTCCCTAGTGTAATTCTCTTTCCATTTTTAAGAAAATAAGCTTTTCTTGTTAAATAGGTTAGTTTGCAACAGTAATCCCTAGTGGATTAAGCTGGAAATTACAATAGCGCACTCTGCTGGTAGTACAGAATTATTACATAGAGGAAACACTCAATAGCATTTTGAAGTGTTATAAATAAACTAGGGCCGGGACTTTAACGCGTTAATTAAGATTAATTAATTACACAAAAATTAACGCGTTAAAAAAATTAACGCATTTTAATCGCACTTATTTTTGCACCGCGGAACGTTTCTCACTGGATGAGTTTCAGGCGTACCGATTATACTGGAGCACCAACTAACGTTCATGACTTCAGACAACAACAAACCACAGTGAACAACAGTGGGAAATGTTGTTTTAAAAAACGGACGGATGGAAGCGTCGATAAGAGCACGGTTGTGTGCAAATTATGCAAAAAGAAATTTGCATATCACCGCAGCACATCAAGCCTCAAGTATCACCTCAATGCAAAACATATAGCAGCTAGCGTGGACGTTAGCCTCTTTTATCGCGTTCACACCAAAAAGAGCCGGTACTAAAATTAGTTCACCCCACGAAAGTCCCTGCTAGAGAGCAGGGACTTTCGTACGGCTCTCTTGTGAGAAGAGAGCTATATGTCTGATTGGCTGGGCGGATTGCAAACCACGCCCCGTAAAACTCCCAAAAAGTTTTGTGAAGCCGCCATTGTCGCCATATCCTCGCATTAGCATTATTAGCATTAGCCCAGCGCAGAAACGCAGAGAGACTAACTTATGGCAACACAAAATAAAACATGGGAGCGGTGGAGATGAGGAGGTGTCGGGGTTCTGGCGATTTACTCGGAAGGCTTCAGTAGAAGCTGCTGGGACTCCCAGCAGCTTCTACTGAAGCCAGTCCCCAACTCCGGGGACTTTGGGCGGCAGTATACGCCGTGAAGTGGTTTGCGGCCT